CTGAGGTAAATTACCATCCCATGAGGAGCTTCCGAATGACAGCAAACTGTGGAGCCGAAGACCCTTAGTAAAAATGTCGGCCCGTTGTTCCAGAGTCGGAAAATACTTAGCCACGATGCCCTCGACTCCCCGATATTGACCTGAAGAAGTGGAACTTCAATGCCAAATACTTGTTGCGCGCAGACATTTTGGGAACATTCACAAGAGACAGGCAACCTTGGTTGTCTTCGAACACTGTAGAGCGCACGAGACTGTCAGTAATTACCGGCATATTCAGTTTGCTACCATTTCTTTGAGCAAAGCTCGCATAGAAGCAGCTCCCTCATTGCATGCTGAAGGCAACATACTCGGCAGCAGTGGAGCTAAAGTAATATCAGTCTGTAGCTTGCTGGACCAGATAATGGGCACCCAAACAGAGTCAGGACAAATCCAGTGCGAGACTTGAGGACACCGGATCCTGTTCATCCTCATATCCATACAATCCGGCGAAGTCAGAATCGACCCAACAGTCAAGTCCCTGATCAAGTTTAGGGCTAAAACAAATGCCTTTGTCACTTGTAGCCAATCAATACCGAATGATACGTTGATTGCTTGAGCATGGGAATGCCGGGGATTGTGACTGAATGTGCCACCTGGTGCACACTAAATGTGATGTTCTGGCGAGTGTTCGACGCAATATAAAGAAGCATCCAACTGCAGCTGGATACTCACTCTTTTCAAATGGGGCCCCCAGTTGTCAGCTCCGAGAGGATCGTGGCGGCAGGAGAAAGCTTCTTGCTACGCAGACATACCAGTAATATTCGATGACTTTATTGATGAGCCCTTTTGAGTAAGCTCAACATTGTTCCCTGTCTTTCAAAATTAATGCCAGGAATCCAAAGATGTCACCTTTTCTTCCATGGTGAGGTCATATACCAAGTTTCTGGAGCTGCCCAACATAGGACTCAATAGATCTGTCTGGACTGAGCCAGTTTGGTCATCACAATAATTTATACCATGAGTTGATGCTCTTTATGAATAAACAAACATGGTCTGCTTCCGAGGTTTCGAAAACAAGTTGGATCATCCCGCGACATTGATGCTCATAAAATAATTTAGGTGAATCGGATCTGCCCATAGATGGACTTGTCAAGTTTCAAAACACAGTTCCTGTCCTTCATATCTTTGGGTCGATAGTACTAGGCAACTCCATGTACAGTGGCTTGGTCGACAGGTCTGAGGGGCTTTACAGAAAGCAAGAGTAAAATCAAATTGGCCTCGATTCCCATCCATGTGGAGCTGCAAGAAGAAGACCGGCTCTAACGGTAGGCCAACCAACAAGTGGAGAGTACGCGAACACCTTCATAGGACTGCAAGGTCTCCTCTGCAGCAACATCTAGATTTGAACTTATTTAATTGGTCGTCTGGTAACTCTTAATTCGTTGCACCCCATGTTCCAGGAACCGCCTTTAAGTGTGAAGGCATAGAAGAACGCTGTACGATGTGCCAAGTCCCTTGCCTTCAAGTGCTGGCAATTTCTTTGTCCATTGCTGCCCAGAAATGGTCTGCATGTGGGTCCCATCAGAGATTCCTTCAGAGAGGCGAAGATCAGGGTCTTTGGAAATTTGGCTAGGCAGGCAGTGGCTTTTAAGAAAGCCAGGATGAAATGATTCCTGGGTGTTGGTCAAAGGTGAATAACCAATCACCTGAGATTGCATCATGTGCCCATAAATTTGGAGTAACTCCAAAGGTCAAAGCTAAAGCACAACTCAACCAGGGATGAAGGACGCGCATTATGCTTCAACTTTGGGTCCATTTCAGAGTCTCAGGCTTCTTGCTGTGGGCTGTTCTACTGGGTTACGGCGAGGGGCAGAGATTGGCTCGATGTGGAATGCAGTGGTGGAGAGTGCTGATGGTGGGAGGCTCCTGTCCCAAGAAGAGGGTAAATTTTGAGTCTGAAGGTGTTGGCAGACGATCTGGAATCTCCTGTGTGAAACCTGGGGCTGGTGCTGGAGTTAGGACTTGAAAATGAAGATCATCCTTTTATTTTGCTCTTGTTTCATCCTGCCATAATTTTTCTCCATGTCGAAGCTTCTAAGATGAAGATCGGTGTTGTTTGATGGCTTTTTCCTCTCGGATTAAGCCACTCGTCTGCTAAGGGAGGTGGAGTGTCTCATCAAATAGGGTCTCGACGCTGTTGGAAGATGCACATGTGCTGGTCACTCTGAGAGTGGTTGATCTTCTGAGGAGTAACTGTCTCAAACCAATCATCATAGACAAGATGGTACTGAGTGGGAAAGGTATCCAGGTTGTAAGGTTGCGGATCAAACCAATGTTTTCTGAATGGACAGGTGAGGTGCCAACTTATTGTCCTCTCTGGACACTGGGCTGCATTTTGAAATCTTTCCTCCTTCACTGGTAAGCCGGGGTTCCAAAACATATGCAGGGCATCCCCATGGATGGGCATTTCTATAACTTGACCATCACTGATAGTTCTGGAAAATATCTGAATGGAGCAATGCCAGTAACTGAATTCGGAGGTTGGTTGTAAAAGGTGAGCTGCATGAGAGACTGCCAAGGCGCACAGGGATTCATCATCAACTTCCGCCCATAGAAGTGCAGCATGGATCATCATTGTCTAGGCTTTGGTTACTACAATTCTAATGGCTCCCTCCAAAACCCCATTCTACCATTTGGCGACCGGTCGCAGAAATATTTAATGATTGATGGTGTTCCCTAAGATTGTTGGACATATGCTTGCGTTTTGTAGATGCATTGTCAGTTGTGATATGAATTGAACACAACCCCATTGTTCGAGACACCATCGCTTCGTTTGCTTCCTTGGCCATGATAAATCAAGAAGCATTTAATGTAACTTCGTGGGTGGGCAAAGATGACAGCCGATGCAGCATCACAAAAATATTGAGGTTCCACAGAACTTATTGCTATCTTTTTCTTCGGCAGTATGCAACAATCTCACTCTGACTCTTGACTCAATTTGATCACTAAAGGTTTCATACCCGGCTACCAATTGTTTCTTTCTTGAGCGCTCCCTGTTTGTCTGGGAGTTCTTGGTGACAGTGGTGTGATCATTTGCCTGACTTGTTTTCCATATAGACAAGCGGCACATTTAGGATGACTCCCCGCCTTGCTTCTAAGCAAACCGAGACCCTTCTTGGTCTAAGAAACCACCCAACCAAGAGATTGGACATGGTGAAAGGACAGATGTCCAACTTGTAATGCCATTACAGCCAGATTTTGACAAAAATAGAGAGAAACGTTCGGATCTGATATGTTGCAGCCCGTACCGCCACTGAACAGATCATTGACCTACGGAGACGTTCAGGTACCTAGGAGTAATGGTCGACACACCGGACCATGATGTTGGAGACAAGAGACGGTAGTACAACCGCCTCGATGCACACTCAAAGATTCTCAAAAGAACAATGCGCTTTCCACCACCTACTAGGGAAGTGTTGCTGCAAGTATCTTGGATTTCATCATATCCCTGGTCTACTAACCCTGCAGAATCCTAGCAAACATGGGACTACTCATCGGTATTGCCTATGCTGAATGCACTGCTGTTTTGGTCAGGAGAACCAAGGTTGCGGTAAGAAACACCAGAGTGACAGTCGCCACTGAGGGGAGTGAAAGCGTTACATTCCTCCCACGACTCAGAGTATCCGTGAGTAGATTGAGTCATGTTTTATGAGTCAACACGATGGAACAGAGAACGCTGGAAGAACACGTTCTCAACGAAAACAAAGGGTCACGGTAAATTGGAGTATTCGACAGGAGTAAAGCATCCTGCCAAAGAACCGTTTCCAGCAGATACCACGTTGACTTCCGTATCAACTACCACGAGTATTATATCCAACACGCTACAAGCTATTTTACTGATCGCATCAATCAAAGCTCACAACACAGATTATGAATTACTAAAGAAGCGAACTTTGCATTTACCTTGCACTCGTCTTGAATAGTTGCAGTTGATCTCGTCGGGTGGTAGCTACCTCTACAAGATCCCTCTATTCAAGTAGTATTTCCCCACGTTAGCAATGCTGATGAAGCAGGCAACCCCTTTGCCTACCTTTGGTCCAGCAACCAACCAACCATGTGCAAGTCCCTCCACAGTTGAGATCCCCCCATCTCGCATTGTGTTCCACTAGCAGTCGATGCTGAGTGGCCCATGAATGTTCCGTTCATGGGGAGAGTATGTAATATAGTTAGTTAGTAACTAATCGTATATCGTGGCATTCCCATGAGAGCGGATCCATACGCACTCGTGGGGAGCGATAACTTTTAGGAACGAGAGCTCTGGATCCCGTCAGAGATAGCTCCAACAGCTATGCTGGCCTACAGCTCCAGCACCCGCAGCTGGCTTATCTCCAGCCAAAGCAGCAAGAAAGGATCGTCCTTTCTACCATACTTAAGAAAATAGTATGAAAGATTGAGACCGATCCTGATTAGCTTGTAGCCCCTTTGATACCGCAGCAGTTGATACCAATCCTGTTGAGGCCGGGCAGAAGCAGTAGGAGGTAGCAGATAGTACTGTTCCCAGACTGCCACTGCACGATTGAATAACGAAGGTCCCCAGCTCCTGAGGAGAGCTGGCCCAAAGGGCCCAGCAGAGAGCTCTGCTGGCCCTCCTGTCTGACTGACAGGGCCAAGTCCTTGGTCTGGTGCCTACTGGAGGTGTTGGAATACTCCTGAGGCACGACAAGGCTCCCTGAACTGCCTGACTACCGCTGTACCTGAGGAAGGGTTTCAGCGAGGTCCAGTCCACTACTTCCGTACTGGAACTGATCCTTCAAGAAACTTATTGGTTGCAATGTAAGTTCCAGTACATGTGCCGGCCATTTCTGGAACTTGATTTGGAATTGATCGGAAACAGGGTCAATTCATGTCTTCTCCTACACAACATGTGCGTGGCTGATCGAGTTATGGATGGAGATGTTAAAGCCTTGTACAAGGCAGACAATGCAGTTGTCGGTAGACAAGTTGTCGATAGTCCATCGGATTTAGCAGCAATTCAAGCTAAAGATACAGACGAAGTTCCAGCTGAGATTGGATGGGCGATCAGGAGTGCTTCTTGTGTCAATGGCAACAGACTCTTTGGCAGATTCAGCGAGCTTTTCTTTGAGATCTGCAGTATCAATAGATCCATCATCTTTCTTCTTCAAAGCCTTGGAATCGGCAGACTGACTTCCATCATCAGTAGTAGTAGTAGCAGCAGAGGCATCATCTCGAGAGGCCATGGTGCTGATCAATAGAGTCAAAAGCAACAACAAAGGGAGTGGAATAGAGCACAACAACAACATGAATAATAATGACTGAATGAGGTTGCGATTTTCCTTCCAGCGAGCGAGTGGACGTATTTTAGTCGAACCGTTAGGCGTGTTTCGGTAGATACTGATCAGTCTAAAATTTTCGACAAAACTCACGACTAACCCTTAGTGTGCATGGTTAGTCAAAATACGGTAGACACTGACGATCTTAAAGCTTTTCGACTAAACACACGATTAAATACCAGTCTTAAACAATCTTTAAGCGCGCGTTTAGTCACCTCCGGTAGACAGTGCCCTAATAGAAAGCTATTTTCTATTGATTTCTTTGTGAAGCGTTGAGGCGTTGAGGCCCCTGTAATAGCTGGATATTTTCTTAAAATCCAGGAAGGCATCTTCATACGACTGAAAGTCCCGCGTTCGGTCCCACTTTAAAGAAAAATCGTAAAAGTCGCGTGTTTTGAACGTTGCGTGGAAAGTCGCATGCGATGCGACTCGCACGCGACTTTGACACGACTTTCCGCACGACGTTTAGCGATCCGACGCGACTTTGGCCACTTGCTTGCAGTGTTTTCATGCGACTTTTAAAGTCGTTCACAAAGTCGCACACGACTTCCACGCGACGCTTGCGCGACCTTACGCCTTTGTGCGACTTTAGTCCCTTTTTTGGCGATTTTGGCGTTTAAAACACGTACCGGCGTACAGGCATGACGAGGGCTTCCTGGTGGGGGCTTCGGCCTCCGGCTACCTGTTCTAATACTTGTCACCAGTTGTTCTTTCGGTGTTGTTGTTTCATGGACGAATTGACAATGGTGTAGGGTGTGCTATAGCAATAGAAAAAGCGCTTCCTTGATGAATTCGCAAGAAGAAGAAGAAGCAGCAATCGGAAGATCCGATTTGTGCTCTTCCAGCCAAGATGAAGTTGCAAGAAACTGGATAGCCTTCGGTATGCAGACGCTGACCGATGAGATGATTCTTGGAATGATCGTACCATTCATTGGCGATGCGCAAAGCTTGGCTCGATTGAGCAGCGTTGACCAACGGTTTCGCAAGATGCTGATTGAAGACACCGATACTTTGCAACGGATAATTGATGAACGAGTGGACGTGTCGCTCTGCAATAATGAATGTTCTACGCTACAAGAGTTGGGATTGTATCAGTGTGCTTTAAAAACAGGGCTCTTTGATGAGAACAGGATCGGCTTTGATTTTGCCAGTACAGATATTGACGACGATGACGGAGTGGCGTCTTTGGTGGAAGGATCCATGAGACGAGTGGACGATTTGGCCAGCATACTGTGCCAGTTTCAAGACGCTAGACTGATTATTGAAGCTCATTGCGGTACTGCCGCGCCGTCGACGATCGCCCAAGGATTCTCCAGAGCTCGGGGACACGCTGTTTGTATGGAGGTGTGTGTTCAGGGTCAGATGCGATTCTTGGAAGATCGCATCACGGTGAATCCGTGGGGGAAAAGAGTCTCTTCTAGGGCGAGAACATCCGATCATAAGTACAGAGGCTTGGCGCGAGAAGGGAGAGGCTGGGTAGAGGTTTACTTGGCAATGGACGACATGGAGCTTCCCCAAAGACCTTCCTATTATGATGGCCTGCAAGTGATGGATGCTGAAGAACGCGGGGTTCCAATGATACATATTCTTTGGTAGGCGACCATGCATCTGTTGACTACGTACGGACTATCATGACATCATGACGGTTTTAACAGAGTGCATTATCGTTGATCCCTGTGCCCTGTGTCCAACAATCCGCCTAATGAGGAGCCGATATCCAAACGCGTCGGGTAGATTGATAGCCAGGACTATGTCGGTACCGGTATGCCCGTAGCGGTACTGGTACCAGAACAGGACCCAAGAGGTTCGCAGATGCGCAGTTGAAATGCTGTTGAATGATGATGATTCGATTGACGAATGAGAATCGAATCAAAGCCTGCTCTGGTGGATCACCTTATGAAAACCAAATGTACTTCGGATTGCGGGAGGAGATCAGAATCTATGCTACCTGGTACCTGGTACTAAGTTTTCTTTGGCGTCATCTCCCAAGACAAAATTTAGTAGAATGAAGGTGGAACGACTACGATACATTTTTTGCCACACAACTATTCACTTCATAGCAATTATCAGCATCTGCGCACTTAGTTTGCTGGCTAGCTAGTCGAGGTCGAGTCTCGGCCTCCGCGGAGCACCTTCAGACCACAACTTCCTGGAGCGACCGAGGATTCGACTCGACTCCTGTGGTGGGCACTCAAAACATCAACTCCATTCCTGTTTGTTTCCCTCACCTTCCTTACGGTACGACTGTATCCCATCTCGGCTGGCTTAACTACATGAACGTCCGGTATTTGGATGATGACCGTTGATGACGTGGGCAACGGGATCCACGCGGAACCACCTCATCACGCAACAGGTTCTTTGTTGTGTGACTCAGTCGAGTCCAAGTCCCAAAGTTGAAGAAGGATGAGCAAATCATCCAATATCCGTGTTACTTTCGATCCCAAGTCATTCGTGAGCTGAGGGGATGCAGCTGGGCGGAGAATGTGATGGGCTCTTACTCAGTTTGTTGAAGGCAAAGAAAGAAATGGAGCTCTGCTGAGGTTGCTTGTCATCACCTCGTTGCAACAGCAACCGAAACAGCTCCGTGTCTTTGAGGCAACTTTTTCCCTGAACAACAAGTCAAAATCAAAACCACCTGAATCAAACCCAGTCTGCATCAGCGTCCTTTGCGGAGTTTACTTTGCAGTAGATCATACAATTCTTGCTGGAGCGAAACGAGAAATTATCCATCAATATACCCTTGACTTTTGCAATCAGATCTGACGACCAAAAATGAAATATGGACTAGCTGTATCCCTTCTTTTGGCAGCTCAATCTACTGTTGCTTTTCAAGGATCCTCGCTGTTTCAACCACCTCTACCCACTCCTGCAAGCCGACATCACTCAAACAGTGGAAGAAGTATTCGCCACTTGGTCTCGACTTATCTCTCGGAAGGAACCCCTGCCAACAATGCTACTGCCAACACTCTGTATCTTGCCAATCTAGTGACGGATGCCGTGCAAACTGATGATGACGAAGAAGAAATTGAACTGGCAGAACGACGTCGAATGATCTCGGAGAGATCGGGCACCTACCGCGTGTCTTTGCCGTTGGCCCAGCCTTCGAGAGGAACCAAGGGTGTGGAGGAACAGCCCCTCTTGATGGGCTTGTGCCTACGGCAATTCACAACGGGATCCAGCATTCTAGATCAGGTGCTGGATCTCGATTCCTTGGCCATTCGGAATGTTGCAGCGGATGTACCGGACATGGAGCTGACCCCTGATATTGCCAACAAACGCATCGAGACAATTGATCCAACTCTGATGAAAGGAAGGCTGGAGAAGGATGCTTCGGGTGTCTATGTGTCATCCGTCATCTTTCAGAGTCCTGCATGGAATGCCGGAGTTCGACCTGGTGATGTTATGACTGCGGCGGCTGCTACCTTTGGAGATGCTCTCTGGCCTAAAACCACTCTGGAAGGTGTTCGGTCGGCATTGACTTCGCGAAGAATGGTAGCGGGAAAGGCAACGTTTGAATTCCAAAGAACCGATGTGACTAGCAAGAATCTGGATAATGTCTACGAACTGACGTTGTCGAAACCCATTGGGCTCAACCTGCGAGGTACGTTACTTCACTGAATTGAACAAGACAGGCTAGATTTTGCCATTTCTTCACCCCCAGTCTTACGCTTTATCTATGCCTCCCCCAGAAACACAAGATGGATACGTTGAGGTGGTAGGATTCACAATGAATGCGCCCACCTTGGTTAGGCGGGCTGTGAGGTTGGGAGATAGGGTTGTGGCAGTTGATTCCAGTTTGGGGGACCAAATGTGGCCCGTCTCTACTGTGGAAGGAGTCATCTCTGCTTGTACGGGTCGTTTGCCTGGGCAAAAGGTGACACTACGCTTGGAGCGACCCGAAGCAAATTTGGGTGACGACGCGGCACAAATGATGGTAATGGAACCCATGGCATTGCCAGAAATACAAACACAACAAAAACGACAGGCAGTGGATGAAGAAACGCAGCTTCTCAAGAGATGCCGTGATGTGTTGCGTCGGTATGCAATTGAAGACAATATCCAACGCAGTGTCAGAGCAACCAATCGTGCCGGGGCCAAGTTTGTGGACAAGTTTGCAGTGCCTGCCATGGTAGCTGATCGCGTCGTGGAAGCTTTAGCAAAGGCATCGGCGACGCTGGATAGTGTCACTCTTTCGATGACAATGGATGCCTATTTGTCATGTGGAAAGCCCAACGATGCCATTCGCGCATTTGAAGCAGCCGTAGGATTGAACGGGGATGGGTCAGTCTTAGTGCCTGCCGAGGTTGCTGCCGCAGAAGGTGCCGAAGGTCAAATCCAACCAAATGCCGCATCGGCTCTGAACGTGTACACCATCAGTTCCTTGTTGAAGGCGCATGCCATGAAGAAAGATATCAAGTCGGTACGCAGAGTTGTGGCTGCTATGGAGGGACGAGGAGGAGAGAAAGTTAGTGGACTTGAAACGGCAACCTGGCCTGGAACTGGCGAAGCTGGTATCATCGTACCCGACACTCAGTGCTACAACATTGCCATCTCTGCTGCCGCCAAGACAGCCACGCACGATGGACTTCAACTTGCAATGAAGCTTTTTGACAGCTTGAGTGACTCGTCCGTGATTTTTAAAACCCAGGGGTATGGAAACCCAGAGAAGAATGTTGCGACATACAACTCTATCATCGGGGCTTTGGCGCTAGCTGGAAAGTATGATGATGCATTCAATGTGTTCTTTACCATGAAGAAAGTTGGGATCAAACCCGACAAGTTCACGTACACTTCGTTGCTGAAGGCTTGTATTAACGACGGCGACTTGCAGGAGCTTGTGTATGACATGCAAGAACAAGGCGTCAAAACGGATGTTGTAATGTACAATGCAATGATCCGTTCCATGTGCGACGAAGGCAAGCTGTCGGAAGCAAGAACGTTAATCACGCGAATGGAAGCACAGGGCGTAACACCCAACTCAAAAACGTATGGAATCTTAATGAAGGGACTTTTGAGAGATAGCAAGCCTGGTGCTTGCTTGGCGTTATTTGAGACCGCATGCAACAACAAGCAGACGTCAGAACTCACCGAGAATGTAATCTTGTACACTACCGCTGTTTCGGCAGCTTCGCGTCTGGGGGACCACGACAGGGCGTTGGACTTGGTGTCTCGAATGAGCGCTGTGGGCGTGAAACCCAACATGAAAACACTCACTGCCTTGATTGGAGCTTGTTTGTCAGGGGATCGACCAGATCTTGCTGCTGAAGTCTACAAAAAAGTCGACAAACCCGACGGCTACGCAATGCTTCAAGGTCTCAAGGCCTTCTGCTTATCCGGCGATCTCGACACCGCGACAAAAATGTTGTACACCCAGCGACGAGGCAGTCGCACCTTATCGGGAAAGCAGCTAATGCATGGATACGAATTGTTGGTGACGACGGCGGTCAAGTACGGCGACTATGAGTCTGCTCGAGCTGCTGTGACTGAACTCATGGCCAAGAGCTACATTCCATCAAAGGTCACGCTACGAAAGGTTGTTGGCGCGCTTGGCCTTGTTGAGAAAGGGCAGATCGTAATGGATTATGACGTGCAAAGGGACCCACAACAGTTTGAATTTCTCCTTTTCCTGATTGATTCCATGAGGCAGCGAAATCTTGCCTTGGATGCCTACGTGTACGCAGCTACCATCACGTGTGGAAATCAGTTGGGAGGACAATATAGGGAAGTTGCTGAGCTTCTCGTGAAATCAAAAGCGAAGTACGATGAGATCGGCGGAAGAGTAGTTTCCCTGAATGATGATGCGTCCGAAGGCCTTGCCGAAGTTCGATGGGAAGAGGCACTGTCGAAGGAAGAAATCTTAAAGGAGTTCCAGTTGAGCCCGGCAATCCTTCCTGCCATGGATGTGTCTGTCAGCAGTCGTGATTCAAGGACTGTGTTCTTCGCTGAGAAGTTCATGGCTCGACCAAGGCAACCGAAAGAAGCCGAACAACCCAGGCCAGCTATGATACGATAGACGCTACAGACAGATCTTGTACACACTGCATTCATACCTAGACAGCTACCACTCATAGTAAATACAGTTGACAGAGTCATTGTCAGTACTAGTAGCTACCATCCCTGTGCAACGCTGGACCAGCCCACCAAGAAGACTTCATGTACCACATTTCCTTCGTGTCTCTACTAGTTTGACACACACGTGTGCTAGTATGCAGAATCAAATCATGTTCTTGGACCTTTGGCACCGGCTAGGTCGAGCAGAATCAATCCTATCACGACAGGAGCAACTGAATTTGAAGCTGAAGCATGACAGGACTTCGAATGCACACATTATTTAGTAGGTTTGAGGTATCGTAGGGTATACCGTAGCTGTGGGTATACAGAACGGAGAGAATCTTTCATCAGCGGTTAGATCTAGTTACAACCAAGGCCTGAAGCAGCAGGCCGGACGCAGCTTTTGCAGGGTGTAATCGTGGAGCAGTTGAGTAACATTGCTGCCATGACTGGAGCCTTGATACGCTCCGGGTCCTCGAGCTGCCAGTACTCTAGTAGCTAGCTAAGAAGCTACTCTGAGTAGCTAGCTAGTACGCTAGCACCCCAATCCAATCTTCCCATTGACTTGGAGAGACTCTGTACATGTACTCGGTTGCAATGTGTTTTTGGGCCACACGCAAGTTCCTCCGCGTTCCGCATGATAAGAAATGCTTACTTTTTGTACCGGATACCGGTACCGGCACTTTTCCATGGTACGAACCAGGTACCAACAGAAAGTGACCCGGCTTCAATTTAAAAACTCAGATTCTTTCTTTCGTAGCGGATACCACAAGAAAGTGACTCGGCGTCACGGTCAGATAAGAATGCACCGGATATCTTCTCGAAGTACGGTAGAGGGTACCGTACCAGGAAGAGGACACAAATCTTATCATCAGGATCACAAGAACAATTACTAAAATGACAGTGAACGCTTCAGTCAGCTTCAGCGGCACGATGGACACCCCACGAGACGATGGAAAGCCCTTTCTCGAAATGGCAAGAGATGTGGTTGAGGCCAAGCGCGAAGAACTTTTTGCGACTTGGTACGATCAAAAAGGCAAGGCCACAAACGACCATACATTTGGTAGTTTATGGGACGAAGCTGGATTGATCGCATACTACCTTCGAAACCATTGGGACGTCCGCAAGGGGCACAAGGTGGTGCTAGTATACACCCCCGGTTTGCACTTCTTTGCTGCCTTCCTTGGTTGCTTGAGATGTGGCGTCACGGCAGTACTCGTGTATCCTCCAGCACCGCCACTGAAAAAGTCCCTTGCGAAGCTGAACGCGGTGATCGAAGACTGCAAACCAGTGGCAATCCTCACCGACAAGACAATCCTGGCCCTCAAGACACTAGACCAGCTGACAGTACTGTCGCCGAGCAAACACGACTGGCCTAAACTGAAGTACCGAAGGACAGATGGTCTCAAAGGTGCCTGGTTCAGCGCCAAAAAGGTCTTTATTGAAGATGAAATCGGTAGCGATCACTTGGCCTTTCTCCAGTACACTTCAGGATCCACCTCTTTGCCCAAGGCTGTGATGGTCACACATGGCAACATCGCTGCCAATGTGAGGCTGCTCCTTGATGGCTCGAAGCAAGGTAGATTGGAAGCAGGAGAAGACCTGAACACAAACAATACTGGGGCAAGCTGGCTTCCAGCGTACCATGATCTGGGACTCATCTATGCGTCCATCAAACCATTTATTGGAGGGTGGCGAATGCACTTCATGAGCCCTTTGACTTTCATTAAGAATCCACTCTTGTGGATTGAAATCATCTCAAAGAACCGAGTGAAGTGGTCGGTAGCGCCAAACTTTGCATATGAACTTGTCGCCCGCAAGTTCCTGGAGGCCAAAGCCCGCGGAGAGGAGCCGATTCCTGACCTCGATCTCTCTTCCATTAACTGCCTTGCAAATTGTGCTGAACCTATATCGAAAGAAATCCATGCGAAGTTTGGTGACTGTTTCAGAGACTACGGGCTCGGTGAAACCTGGTTTTGCGCAGGTTATGGTCTGGCTGAAAACGTGGTTGGGGTATCGTGGCAGCACGAATTTCGAGTGTCCTCCACAAGGTCGCACGATACGTCGCAGTTTGTTGCTGTGGGAAGTCGTGCCACGTTCCACTCTTCAATTGACATCAGAATTGTCGATCCACAGACAAATTCTGAAGTTGACGATGGCGCCACAGGAGAACTATGGGTTTCTGGACCCAGTGTGGCAGCTGGATACTTGAACAAGCCAGAAGTATCAGAAAAGGCGTTCAAAGCCAAGCTGCTGCGAGCTCGAGACGGCAGCAGCCACGACAGCAACCGAAACTTTCTCCGGACCGGTGACTTGGCTTTCATCCAAGATGACTACCTTTTCATTTGTGGACGCATCAAGGATGTCATCATCATCAATGGCGTCAACTATTATCCACAAGACGTCGAAGCTCTCACCCAAGAGGCATCTGCAGCCGTCAGACCCGGCTGCGTCGCTGCGTTCCCTCCTGGCGAATCGGCCGGGCAAGATGGCATTCAGGTTGTTTTCGAGGTCCGAAAGAGTCATGAATCTGAAGCCCGGCAGATCTGTCAGACCGTCAAGAGACATTGTGGCCCGCGGCATAGGCGTCATGCCAACTTTGGTCGTCGCTATTCCTGAGCGCAGTATCCCGAAAACGACAAGGTAAGTGGATGGCGGTCGAGATGATGGTTCTGTCACTTGGTGCCACCATCCTCACACTTCTTTGTCCAGTGGCAAGATTCAAAGACGCCGAACACGACAGCAGCTTCAACACACAAGCCTTCGACCTCTTTATTCTCTCACCAGCAACGACGATGACGGTCGAAAAGCAACGTTGGATGCTGACACAGAAACAAGTGAATCCGTTACCAGGCCTTCCGAAGGCCTCCGCGAACTAACCCCAGACGAAAAAGTTGATACGATCTTTCAGTCCGTCTTGGGTGAAGACTTCGATGCCAAGGCTTCATGGGAATCTAACGGCTTGTCAAGCCTTCTCAGTGTTGAGCTCTCCAACAAACTCAGCGCCAATTTCCCCGTATCCGTACCTCCTGACTTCCAAGACAAATACGCCACTCCCGCCGCCTTCAAAGAGTTCCTTCTTCGACGCTCCTCAGGAGCATTTTTCCCAGTCGTTCTTCCACACCTCAAGTCGCGTGGGTCGATGTTTGCACAGCCAATTCCATGGTTGTTGTCAACTGCATTGCAGGCAGCAGGAATCGCCTTCGTGCTTCTGCTGCTTTCAGTGAGCACAGTGCCAGCATATCACTTCGTTGTCGCTCTGAATCGCTCGGAAACGACGGCGCTGAAGATGCTGTACCCCTTGGCCTTTGCAATTTGGCATTTGTCCTTTTCGCTGCTCGTCATCCTGACAAAGTGGATTGTGATTGGGAGATACTCTGCTACGAAAGTAGCCGTTCCATCGGTTCGCTTCTTGCAATGGTGGCTCTTCGACAGGCTCATCGACGTGTGGGAATATGCGACGGGCAAGTTCGTACTGAATACCCCGCTCATCTGGGTATTTTACAAAGTTTTGGGCGTTGATATGCCGGTTTCTGTCAAAGTCAGCGGCTTTCTCAGGGAGTTCGACTTGATCTCGATTGGCCAGTCCGTTGCTATCGAACACGATGTGCACTGTCGCAAGTTCGGTCCTTGGGAGGAGTTTGGTGGATGTGGAACAGTCACTCCGACCTTGAGGTTTCGGCCGATTGAAATCGAAGATCACAGCACCATTCGCGGGCACTTGGGTTTGGGTTCAGTTGTCGGGGAAGCAGCTCGCGTGGAAAGACTTGCTGCGGTCCCCGAAGGATCTCAAATTCCAGATGGTGTAGTGGCGGAAGGAAGTCCTGCGTATCAAAGCACCGAGACGGCACCCCGCAACACGAACTCTCCGTACTTTCACCTGATCGGACTGGCCAAGGTAGTCTGGATCTTCCTCGAGCTTTTCCTTTCGGCGCTGTTTGGTCTGATGGGTGTAATGTTGTGGAGCCTGATCGATATCCCCGTTCTGGCAAGCTGGAGATACGTCCCGATTCTCCGTTTTGTCTTTGTAGTGGCGATCGCCACCATCTCGGGTCTGCTCTGCTGCATTCTGCTGAAGTGGACCCTGATCGGGCGCAGAAGGGCCGATCAACACACATCAGAAAGGCAAAAACTCTCGTATTGGATGGTGGACTACCACTACAACCTTCATCTGATCTTTTTCAGTTTAGTTGCCGAGGGTGCTCTCATTGTCAACTTGTACCTCCTGGCACTGGGACTCGACATCGACCATTCCAAAGTCCGACCCCAAAACTTCCAACCATCCAAGGTCGATCTGATCTCTGTAAAAAGATCATTTCTCAGCACCGACGCGTTTGACATTGGTAGTGGGCGTGCCCTTCCAATCTCAATCGAAGACTGCAACGTAGGCCACTCGGTGATTCTCCAACATGGAACAAAGGTCGTTTCCACAGAGATTCCCCCCTTTACCCGTGTGACAAAGGATGTCGTTGGTGTGGCTAAGGAGAGGTCCGAAGACGAGAGACTCGCCTCGGCCTGCGAACGCTTGTGGGTGGATCTTGCGGTGGCGCCCGTCATTCTCGTCATCATGATGAGCTTTGTGCCAACTTTTGAGTTCTTCCGAAGAGTTGAATTCAACAGCATCCTTTCCTTTCCAGTCACAAAGCTGGCCTTGGCACTAGCAGTGCACGGGGTGACATGGTACCTTTTGGCCGTTTTGTTGCATCGAGTCATGTACATCAAGAAGGATACTCCCTGGAGCAAGACCCTCTACTCTGTTGTCTTTGTCTTTTCGGCGCATTTTTGGGAGCCTTCCTTTTCCTGTTTGTTGTGGGGAACACCATTTGCAAATCTGGCACTGAGGGGACTGGGTTGTACCATCAACGGAGGTCCCCTTTGGTTCTTTGGCAAAAGAATCTACGATGCCCCGCTCGTTTCAATCAATGGCCCAACCATTGTGGATTCCAGTTGGCTCAATGGCCACAGCGTTGTTCGCGGGAAAATCGAATTGGGGCCGTGTCATGTTGGTGGTGTGCTTCACGAGCGCACTGTATGCCTTGCCCACACGTACCTGGAAGCCAAGGAAATGGGTCCTTTTCATTTCGTCGCTCCAACTGCTGCGCCTCCAGGTGGCGACATTGTGTAAACTTGAATAATTCCAATAACAATCCTCCTTGTCTTCGTAACGATGCAGTACTGTAGTATCAGCTTCGAGCTCTCACCCCTGAAACTGGATAATAGATAGCCCAATGAATCACTGGGCAATGACAACCGAGGAAGTGAAGCAGATCTTCTTGCGTCAATATTCCGCACAAGTTCAGGTCTCAGACGTCCTGGAGGGATCTTCGACATGACGTGTCAAAGCAAAGAATCTAGGTTCTCACAATCACTATTTTTTCGTTTACGGACGACACTGGTGTATATGCTACCAATGTCGTGTTTCCCGAAGACTTTTGGTCGGCCCAATTCACCCCATTGTGGACTTAGAATCGAATTCCCGCAGTGCAACCAACACGTATGCACACCAGCCAACAGATCCCTCCCGAGCAAAGCAACCCGCCGAAGCACACGGATACAGATTTCCTCTTAACAGCAACGGCTTTCACGGAACAACATTTGGATCTCAGCAGCCACGGCACGGCTAAACTGTTTCAAATCAATGTTGTTGGTGTAGAACTTTTCGTCGCTGCCGTTCACCGAACTATTGCG